TCTCAGAAAATGACAACTCCAATTGCTTTGCAGCTTGTCTGTCTTTCATACTTGCACGGAATGCATCAGAGAATAGTGCCTGGTCCTCCTCCAAAACACTCCATGGGACCAATCACTACTCAGCATGTTCTAACACTTTCCCAGCACAAGTCACTCTTTGAGATTTCCTAAGTTATTTTTGTAGATCCTTAATTGCTCTCCTTGCTTCTACACTTCCTCTAGTACTGTCAGAATAGACCTTTGGTGTTCTCATATAATTTCACGCTTTTCTGTCCAAAATTTTTCCAGAAATTCTCCTCTCATCCAAACTAAACTACAAGACTACCAATAATCTTCCCTTGCACCATTGTGGCCCCATTCTTTCACCGCATACTTCTCCCCTCCTCTCCACCCATGAAGAGCTCACTGTTATTCCTAAGCACATCAAACACCATCCTCTGTGCTGTCAGGCCTACATCTCCTTCTTCCTGTTACCAACAACTAGTCCCCAAATACCATTCAAATTCTTCACTCTGGAGACTGTATTTAGACATCATCTCATTGGAGAAGTTGACTCTGACATAAAACAGCACCTTGTGCAAAGTAAATCTCCCTCTCTTCATCTACTGCTTTGTCTCCCTTTGGAACATGTTGTTAACTTGACGCAAGTAAAACTTTAGAATTTCGTTTCCTCCAATTCCACCGTGCATGCAAGAATCTTGTTTAGCTCCCAGTTGTCTACTCCAAGCCTGGAAAACTGTGTAATAATAGATAAACATAATCAGTATTATTGCTAAATGGAAGACTACAGTGGCACCTTCTTTGTCAGGACGTTATGTGTTGGGAGGGGGGTAAAGCAAGGTTTTCTTTCTCTTTCAGTGGTCCAAGTCATCCCACTGGAGTTTCGAGGAGTTGAGCTGGGAGGAAACCATGCTCAGCACAAGGCGGAAAGCCTGTTAGTGTCCATCAACATCGAGAACTGACTTCCATGTTTCCTGGAAGCCTGCCCAGTGAAAACCAAGATTTTCTAGTTAATCATCTTTCTCACAGCCATATAAGATCATGTTGCAGACAGACTGCCTTGTCAGTACCTTAGACACACAGACCCCTCCCAAGGATGTTCTTCCTCAAAACCATGATGTAAACGTCCAAATCAGGAAATCACATCATAATTGTACTGCAAAGCCCACAAACCTCATTCAAACATTTCCCTATTATTTATTTTGCCACTTACTCCAAGATCCCATCCTGAATTATTTGCTGGTTTTGGTCATGACAACTGATTCTCTTCAAGGGGGATCTGCTAGTTCTGTCTTTGATTAGCTTCAGAGTGTTAGAAAAGAACTTTCATTTCATAGGATAGATTCAAAGCCTGTTATGTTTCCTGGTGTGCAGACCTGGGATGTGTATGTTGTGACAAAATGCTGCTGTGGCTTCTGGGTGCATCTTACCAGGGGCACACACATTGTGATTCATTCTATGGCTGGTGATCTGCACCATGAACACTCGTCTGCTTTGAACTGTCCAAGGTTCTCTTCAGTAATAGAAGCTGCCCCTTGTAGAAACAGTATTTTTAGAATATACTTGGCTAACACCCTACTTAGCATCAAAAGTTACCTCTGCAGCTTTATTATCCCCAGGACTACCACAAGAAGCTACCAACACTCTGTCAAATGGAGCCTTCCTAGTGCCATCACTCCCCACAGGCAGACTTTCCCACCATTCACAAGCACAGTTTCTTCTCCCTAAGTTGTTTGCTTCATCATTTATTTATATTAGCATAGGTAACTTCTTATTCCTTAGGTTTTAACCAATTGCTACCTTCATTCCAATGCCTGGGCTTGGCTAAGAGCACTTTCCAGCAGGACACTGTGAGCTGTGTCATACTCCAGTCATGCTTTTTGAGCATGTCCCTATGATAATGTTCACGATGCATTTGTACTTCCTCAGACACAGCTCTGGACTCAACCAGAGCTGTGTCTCTTTCTTTCTTTCTTTCTTTCTTTCTTTCTTTCTTTCTTTCTTTCTTTCTTTTTGTTGTTGTTCGAGACAAGGCTTCTCTGTGGCTTTGGAGCTGTCCCTGGAACTAGCTCTTGTAGACCAGGCCAGTCTCAAACTCACAGAGATCCACCTGCCTCTGCCTCCCGAGAACCCAGATTCTTTATAGGGGAAATCACATGGAGAAAGCAAGATCTTTGTGCCATTTGGTGTATCCTTTGCTTCCAGGCTCTGAATAGAAAGAATGTTGTGTGTGTCTTTCCCTATTTATGTACTCACACATATATAAACATAGGTGATAGTGTTTTAAAAGTGACTCCAAATTCATTTGAACCCATTCCAAAATTTTAGGATTTTTAAAAACCTTTTCTATTTGCAAATTCGGTCACCCACTGCAAAAACAAACAAACAAACAAAACTTGGCTTCTGCTTTACTGAATATTTTACTTCTTGGCTCCATGGCCCCAGTTTGGCAAGCTCTTGGTCTGAGCTGCCTCCTCAACCCAGCTATCAGTTGTGCCTTAACTTTTCTGAGGGAAATTGAGAGGAAGCAGTGCTCGTGTATTCTTAATGATACCTCTTCAAATCTTGTGGCTGGGGAAAAATGTTAAGAGGTAGGGAGATGCCGAGGACCACCTAGCTTTGTAAAAAGCACTGGGACAAAATCCTTGCCTAGGGACCTGTAGCCAAAGGCCCTCCCCCCAGATCCGGGGGGCGGGACCAGGAGCTAGCCAGCACTTCCACCTCCTCAACACTGGGCACTATATAAAAAGCACTGTTCCAATTACCTAAAAAGCACGGGTACACACACACACACACACACACACACACACACACACACACACACACACACGCACGCACGCACACACGCACGCACGCACGCACACACACACACACACTCACACACACGCACGCACGCACGCACGCACGCACGGAATAGGCTAGAAACACATACAAAACCAGCAAGTCAAGTACCATAGAGACAGATTCTTCTAAGTTTCTCTTGTGCCTGCTTCTAATTTGGATACAGCTGGGGTTCTCTCTGCTCCCCTAGCAGCCACTAGCTGCCTATATGGCTGCCCAAAATAAGAGAAGCTATGATGGTAAGTAGACAAGAAGGCTGGACACATGTGAAGGTCCTGGGGAAATTGGGTTTTGTTTCTTTTAACGAATTGGGCATCGTTTCTTTGAAAGAGCACCGCATGGGAAGAATACTGTGGGTAACTGAGAACCATCACATAAATATATAAGTAAGTAAATGGATACTTTATATCACTGGTGTCTGAAGCTATGGAAACCATCGGTGAGGAGGTATAACAACCACCCAGTCATTTCATTGGTAAGGAATTCTGCTGTTAGAACACTACTCTAGGGAAACTATTCTCGCTGGCTTATTTTAATCTCCATGCACAGCTGGAGAACACACTTTAAAACCATAACCTACACAGGCCTCCCTTTCGTGCTGATGCAGCGAGTCCTCTCTCGCAGGTCACGACTGCTAGAGGAAACTGGCAAACTGTCCCATTACGGGGGGAGGGGGGGTTCGTTTTGAGAGAAGATGCGTTTCTACGTCGCAAACAAATGCCAGGTACTGACTTCCAGAGGGGAGGAGGAAAGTCTCCCATATCTACACCACAGACCGGTCCCTAAGCCAGCCAGCACGCATCACCAGGGACCCCACCCCGTGACCCAATAAACTTGCCTTGCATATGCTCTAATGTCCTTGCATTAGAGCAGATCAGGCCGGGTGTTGGTGGCTAACGCCTTTAATCCCAGCACTCAGGAGGCAGAGGCAGGTGGATCTCTGAGTTCGAGGCCAGCCTGATCTACAGAGCGAGTTCCAGGGCAACCAGTACTGGTTTTAAAATGGTGTTCTGACAGCCACTGTCCTAGATATATTCAGGACTGAGGGGAAGGGGCCTCATGACCAACCAGCCCTGGGATCCTCTGCACATTTTCCAGCCACTGGAAAAGTCCAAGAGAGGTACAAACATTTAGCTGTATTTAAGGCTCTGACCTTGTTCCTAACACAAAACTCTTCTTTTTCCCAACTGATCGAAGTGGCAGTCGGAGACTGAATTTGAGGCCCGGCAGAGGTCGCTCACGCCCAGGAAGAGAGACAGAGTGAGCTTGGCAAGGGGAGCCCAGGAGCTTTGACATCATACTAAGCTCCTCCTTGCACGCACACATTACACACACACACACACACACACACACACACACACATCGCTGTGCCCCTCTCCGCACGGCCCCCACCCCCGCCATCCCATTCGCCCCATACTGTCCCCTCCCTCCTCAAGTGAGTGTCCCGG